AGCAGGAAGAAGTTCAGAGAGCAGCTCAGACTGGCTGAGATAATCAGAGGACTCAGGAGTGGTCCAGGACCAGTCCTTACCAAGCCCTGTTCACATCCTGGGATTTAGAAGTCCCCTGCCCCCATGCATCCAGATTCTAGGCTGAGGAGGAGCTGGGGAAGAGGAAATATGAGAGACTGAACATTTTACCTTAAGGGACTATTTAAAATATAGCATTGGGCTACATTTACCCAGCTAGATTAAAATTTAGAGTTATTTATGCTCCTGCTACCCAGTAGGTGAAGCTAGGAAAGCAATATTAGATCAATTATGAAACACAAAACACCAATTTTGGGCATGTACAAGCTTTGTGGGAGTAAATTCACACCCCTACTCCAAATACCCATCCATTCGCCTATTCAACACACATGTACGAATAGCCGACCATTGGACAGGCACTTAGCTAGACTCTCTGGAAGTAATACCTCTGAGGCATGTAGAGCCTATTAGAGGAAACAGGACTGTGAGCCAGTAATTGATGTGTAGTATGGTAAGTGCTGTGATAGAAGTATGAGAAAGCACTATGGAATGGAGAGAGTTGAGTAACTTTCCCTGGGGAATTTGCAGAAGATATCAATGGGGTAACACTGGAGGTTCTTAACAAAAGTCTGAGTTCTCCAGTTGAAGTCATGGGGACACAGTGATTCAGGTAGAAGAAAGCCTTCGTGCAAAGGCCTTGATGTACAAGAGGACAGGGAACATTCTGGTAAGTACAAAAACATTCAAAATGTGATTGGAACAAAGGGCATGTGCAGGGGAGTGTGGGAGGTGAGCCTGGAAAGGCAGAAGGGGTCTGAAGACCATAGGTCTTGTGGAAGGTTCTGTAGCAGAGTCGTATCATAATCCTGTGTGCTTTCTGTAATCCTTAAAGTTCATACTTTACTGTGTCCCATGAATAGGAAGTAGTGAGGAATAGTAGCAAGTGTCCGCATTATATTTATCTTAACTGGTCTTCATCTTTTAAGAGAGGGAGGCACACTATCACAATCTCCTCAGGATGATGCTGCCAAAAAGACTGATGGACAGAGATAATTCAACAAATATCAATCCCTGGATTATCTACTTACCTGATCCAAAAGCCTCCTCTAAGAGAGCAGCGCAGGGCAGAACTCTGACCAACCCTCACTCTACCACCCACCTGGAAGGTGTTACCTTGGGCTCCCCAGAAGGGTGACTGTGATAGAGCTGGTGGACAGAAGGAAAAAAAAGCAGCATGTATCTCACTCACCTGAACTTCGACTTGGAGATCCGGTGGCTGAAAGAGAAAAAGGAGACATTAAGAAATGACACACACATTTTCTTCCATTTCAAAGATGTTCAGCAATGCCAGCGAAGTTTGATTTCCCAGGTTGTTCTATATGGGCCCTGGACGGATGTGTAGAGTGACTTAGAGCAACTCTGGAGAGAGAGAATGCTATTTGTCAGCATTCCCTGGTGTGGTTTTGTGTTTGAATGTGGAGACTGAGGGCTGGCCCAGCTGACAAATCTACAGATCTAGTATCTTCTAAGTGGAGAGGGAGAGTGCCGTGTTCTCAGATGATCAGCCTCTACCCAGCAGATTCCATGAGGTCTGGTGAGGCAACATGTTAGGAATGCTTCACCTTGAGAAGAGCCATAGAGGGCAGGAAGGCCTCCTGCAGGTGGAGGATCCCACCAGCCAGAAGCCACAGGCAGGAACAGGTCGGTGTAGACCGCACTGCTGTCTAACAGGAGCCTGGCCAATGGTTGGTATGAAGTGAGGATGAGCAAAAGGAGCCAGCTGGAAACTGAGAGGCCACAGCAGTCCTGACCCAAGAACAGCAAACTGAACAGAAAGAAACAGCCATGGCTCCTGAGGAGAAACCCAGGATGCTGACAGTCATGTGCAACCCTAAAGACCTGGGTGACTTTTGGGCACGAGCGCAGGGCAAGTGTGCTGGTGGCTGACTCGAAGGGTCACTGTAAGAGGGCAGGGGTCCACTGAAAGGCAGAAACTTTGAGGAGGCTCTGAGACAACCTAGTTCTTACAGGAGAGTCCAGGGGAGGCTGGATGGAGGCAGGCTGGGAGAAGAGGAAGGGATGCCGGGCAGAAGAGAGGAAGAGAGGGAGATAGATGGAAGGAGACAGAGAGAGGGACTGAAAGGGAGAGAGACAGTGCAAGCACTTGAGACAAACAGTGAAGGCGATATGTCAGAAAGGCTTTGTTTTTGAGGGAGTAATTGCAGGTGGAGCAACCAGGCTCAGATGGACACGTAGAAAGATGCAGAGTGTGAGTAAGAGACGAAAAAATGGGTGGTAACAGCAGCAGAGAGACAAAGAGAAATGCAGAGAAAACAGGAGCAGGGAGTTGGGAGGTGACTGCTGTAAGCCTGTGTTGTCCCAGCTCAGCACAAAGCGAGCTCTGTCACACAAGCAGGAAAACAACCCCTCTCATTATTTTTTATTAAAAAAAATTAAACCAGAAGATGTGACAGGTGGCAAAGCCATTGAGCATGAGATAATTATATCTCTGGGGCACTGAGAATCTGAGCCAAGTGCCTTTACTGTTCTGAACCGTTAGCTAATAACCTTTTCCCGCCTCCAAAGACTGCCTGCTAGGGCTGGAGGGTTTTAATCACATGTTAACAAAGCGTATGGGAGGGGGACTGGGAGCCAAGGGCAGCATTTTTATTTAGAGCCACAGTTTAATGGGGGAAACAAATGTTTTCCAGGTGCTAATTGGGTGATGGGGAATCCGGGGTGCCCTGTTCTCTGGCAGGGCCATGCTGAGCCTGGCACCTTCAGGGGCTTCCCTAGGCTTGCTTTTGGGCAGTTGAGACTCCTTGCTGTAAACATAAGCCAGTGTGGATGACCATGATCTTTAGCCCTGTGACCCTGTCTATAAGAGCCTGGGCTGGCCCCAGGCATCCTCTCAGAAATGTCTCAGTGACCCTCTCTGGGGTGCCCTTCAGTGCAGACCACAGGCCCTTCCCTGTAAGGCTCTGTCTCTCAGTTCAAATGAGTCATAAGAGTGGATTCTTAAAAACTCCCACATGGGAAAACCTAAATCTGAATGCTCATATCTCCCATGGAAATGACTCTGGGATGTGGGCACAGGGGAGGAGCAGGGCTAAGGGTGACTGTTTGAAATGAGGACCATGCCTGAATTTAAGTCTTTCCTTGGCATTCGGGCACATTCCAAAGAGGAGGAAATGAGCAGGACTTTCTATTCCACTTAGTTACAAGTCCTGATGTATAATCCCGGACACCGCACTTGAAGACTAATTTTCATTGTTGTTGTTTTTCTCAGGGGATTGCAAGCATCATTTCAGGCTTTCTGGGTCTGAAACATTAGTCCCTTTTTAAGCACCATATTACTTAAACACTCCTACTTGATAAGGGGGAGGGTATTGCTCAAGCGGCATGTGTCTGGAGACAAAGGAAAACTACAGTCCTTAGAGAATTGAGGTTAGAACTCTTACGAAGCTTAAAGGCCTTGATTCCTCCATTTGCCCTATATAAGAGGGAATCAACAGTAGACCCCCACTTCATGAAAACAGAGGGACCCCATTGCTTAGCAGCCTTTCACTGTATTCTATTCTATTCTATTCTATTCTATTCTATTCTATTCTATTCTATTCTATTCTATTCTATTCTCCCATCACATCCCATCCCATCCCATCCCATCATATTCTATCCTGTCCTATCTTACCTTGTGTTTTAAGTAGATTCTTAAAGAGCAGGGAGGTGGAGAAAGTGAGTATCTAACTCATAAGACCATCAGAACAGTTTCACTGGTTTGGCCCACTGGGTTGGACCTGGAGTTCATCCAATCCAAGATACTTTCTCTGCCCAGGCCTCCAAGACAAACTCTCTAGTAAATCATGTGTTTTTTTGTTGTTGTTGTTGATATTAAGGTTCAAAATGAGAGACAAACCCCAAACTCTGTTTTGTGTAGTTACTCAATTTATAATTTATAATCATTTGACAAATATTTGAACTTCTTGGGAACTTATATTTTCAGCTTCTCTCCCCTTCTTAGAATAATGAGCACCCTATGTTTACTACCTGCTGTGTGAAATAGTAGTTCCCTAAATTGTCCCAATTTGCAGTTAACATAAATCAGACGGCACTGTAGTCACCATCTAGGTTGACACACATCTGACTCAACTTCCTGGGCTCCACAACTGCAACACCACCCACAGCTGTCATTACCAGAACGGTCAAACCCTGGGCCTTGTCACTACAGAGCACTGCTTCAGCTACTAGGTACCGCCTTGGTTGTTCTCCGTCTCTGGCCAGAGCATCCTTCTCCGTTATCCCTCCTGCTCTTTCACTGAACCCAGTCTTTGCCCTCACTGGGTCTTCCCAACCACTCAGACTTCTCCAGGGCTCCCAGGCTAATGCCAGATTTGACTTCCAGTTCTCAGCTTGGTCCCATGGCCATGTCAGTGGTGCGTTCCACATAATGCAGACTCCCACACCACCTGGACCTTCTGCTTGGCAACCCTCACCCCTAAATCCAGTTCACATCGCTGTCTGTTTTTAGTGCTTCCAGGCTAAAGAGCCTGCCAAAAAAGTATGTTGAGCTGTTATGCAGCTGACTCCACATTTACAATGTCAGTCTCTCCTGCAGCTTCAGCACTGCTCAGCAATCTGTGACCTCTTGGTGACTCACTAGCTTAATCTCCTGTACTGTCCCTCCAGTTCCTAGGACACCTAACCCTCACTTTCTGTGATAAGATGATGGATCATTTGGTATGACTCCTATCACTGACCCTCCTCAGCAGCACAGCCTGTTTCTGATTCTATATTCTTTGTAGAACTGTAGGCTTTTGAGAGCTGAGAGGGACTCTTAGATACCACCTGGATTTTTGGTTTGTACTTTATCAAGTTATAGACTGCTTTATTCATATGAAATCTTACACGGGAGCCCAATATGTAAAAGAGGTGAATGTGGTCTCCTTCTGTGGTAGCCCTGCAGGTGGTTTCCAGGACTCCTTAGCCTCTGCTAAGAGATCCCTGAAGCAACCACCAGGCCAGCTCCTTTGCTTCTCAGAGGACAAGACAGACTCAGAGCAGAAGTGCTTTGGTTGAGGTCGCATTGCTAGTTGGTGGCTGATTAGTACTAGACCTCAGGACTCCTGATATCAAGTCTCTTTTTCCATCTTCCAATTAGTCCTAGAGGTAAAAGAACCTCATTTCCTGTGTAAATCCACTGTCTTTGAAGCCAACTTTCGCCCTTCTAAAGCAATTCCTTCCTATCAGCACTCATGTCCATTCCAGCGACTTTAGCCCCTACCTTTTCACGGGCTTCTTCTTTGTCTTAAAAACGATTCCAATCTTCACTGTGATGAAAGCAAATCCTCCTTTGGCTGTTGCTGCTTCCTCCCTCTCTGATCTTATTTTCCCCTCTCCCTTCTGTGGCCCCAATTCTGGAGTGAATGCCCTGTGTTGGCTTATTTCTACCTGCTCTCCTCCACTGAGAGTCCAGCTCCCACAGTCCAGTCCTTAGAGTACAGCCCCAGAACACAGAGTCCACCCACTC